GGGCAGCCTNACAAAAAGCGTGACCACGGGACAAACCCGGTTGGGATAGTGCACGGAGGTGTGGTAGTTCTGATAGTTATGATTCGAGGGCTGAATGTTCTTTTCACCAACTAATGTTGAACTGTTTCTCGAGGACCGGTGGACGCTCCTTTCATGACTTGGCTGAATTCCGCGAGAGTCCCAAGTGTATCTGTCGCAAGTCCTCAAGGTTTACGGCTCTGTGTTCACTCAATTCCCTCTTCCAACTGCAGGTAAAAATGCCTGTCCAGGACCCCAGCCTGGCAAATGACAACGACGGCGACGGCGACCAACGGGGTGTGCCCGCTGGCACATTACATGGAACCGATATGCAGCCCTTCACGTGGGTTTGTTTTGTGATTGACCACGTTTCGCTCCAAGGCAAAACGACGTTGCGAAAGAAGCTCTGATCCCTCAATGGGCTGGCTGGGCACAACACATTTCCCAGTTCCAGTGTGTTCCCCTTTACTCATGTATCCAAACCTATCCCTTTCAGCACACACCTATCTACATTGGAAGCGCCGCTGTTGATGAAAGTTGTTTTGGTTGCATACAGTGAGTGCTCTCCACCTTCAGGAGTCAAAGGTACATTTGACTCGAGCCGAAATGGTGACAGCATCTGAGGTGCCCAGACTTGCCGGAGCTCTGCTAGTCTCGAGCGTAGATCGGAAGGTGGAAAACCCTTCGTCGTGCAGCATTTCAACACGCACGTCTCCAAGGTCCAGGCTCCGATTGAAGACTTTCGCAATGACCATGCCGCGATCGATGCAATTTTGCGTGGCTTTGGCAAGCGCGTCCTGTTTTGCAGACTCGGCGTCACCTAAATAGGGGCCCACGGACTGTATCCGTATGCTCTCAGATGAGGGAACTGATAGTATATCCTCAATCATCAGAGCCGAAACTTCCTGGGCCGTAGACACTTTCTGAGTAGCGTCCTCGCTGCGGGCAGGGTCCTGGCTACCTTTTGTAACCTTTACCACCATGCTCTGTTCGACTGTAACACCGAGCCTCTTCCTTGTGTTCCAATCCGTTTCCTCCCTAACTTGCAGACCGCCTAAGTCGTACTCCGCTCCATAGCTGTTCAGTACCGTCACCAGGTCATTCAATATCGAATTCACAGCACTCTTCGCCGCACCCATTTCTTCGTTTACAGAACCGACAGAAAGGTATACCGACATTCCGTCAGCCACTCCTGATACTTGGCCCTCCCCGATCACCACGATGTCTGGAGTATGACCCGCTAGTGTCTCGGTCGCGAGAAACACTACGATGAACAACACACAACGCCACATCCAAATCATGTTCTAAAGAATCGTTAAAAATGTACGCGCAGGCCCACCTGGCGCAGGTCCACCTGGCGCAAGTAAGTTTATTGACGCCACCACCGCCAGCTTCTGGTGGGGCAGGCCTGCCGTGCGGTTGCGGGGGGAGTTATTAGACTAGGCCGGGTCGTGCATATTTGGGGGGAAAAATGAATGAGCGTACTCCGGTGTCAGAGTCGGGGAATCCTGATGAGGGCCACCGTGACAAGGAGGAGGCGGAGTCAGAATCTGAGGTTTCAGGAGCGATGGACGAAGAAGAGGAAGATAGCGGGCGGATGTTTGAGTACAGTTGGACGTGCGAGGCCACAGACAACGCAGGCGTGTATTCGATTGACTCGCCGGCGCCGGGCTTGATCTTGGCGGGCGGTGGAGACGAGGTATTGTACGTGTTAGCTCTGTCGCAGGAAACGAATTTGGATGAGGGGGGGATGTTGCACGGCGTCATCTCCGAAGTCGCCAGCGGACTGTCCAAGGTGCACACGGACTCAGTGAACAAAATTACGCTTACGAGTGACGGCAAATACGCGGCAGCCTCAGGTCTGGACGGCAAGGTCTCAATCTACAGTCTGGAACAGCCATTGGGAATACAGCAGCCATCGGGAATACAGCCGCCGACGGAAATACAGCCGCCGACGGGAATACAGACGCCATTGGGAATACAGACACCAACGGGAATACAGACGCCAACGGGAATACAGACACCAACGAGTATACAGCCGTCGATGTCGCCGGTGAGGCTGGTGAATACGTTGGAGGGCAGTAGCGAGATAGAGGATATTTGTTTCGCACCGGGCTCGTTGGCATTGTTAGGTGCCTGTTCGGACGGGACGTGTTACGTGTGGCACGCGCTCAAGGGGTTCGTGGCGTGTTTTACGGGGCATAAAGGACGTGTGAGTTGCGCGCGCTTCGTGTCTGCCGGTGAGCGCAAGTTCCATTGCCTGACTGCGGGTGCGGACGGTTTCCTGTATGTTTGGGAGCCGACGAGTGCAGAGTGTTTGGCACGCATTAAAGTTTGCCATGTGGACCCGGAGGAACTGAACGCGCAGCACGAAGGCGAACCCGCCGCCTGCGGTGTCCTAGCTTTGGACGTGCGCGAAGAACAACGTGTCGCACTCTGTGGCTGCGTCTCAGGCCAAGTCGTCGTCGTCAACTACGACGCAGGGACGGTAGTCAAGAAACTCAAGGCCCGTTCCGCCGTGGAGACTGTGCGCTTCTCACCGCCCTCCACCCAACAGTTCTTCGGGGGTGCCATCTATCTCGCCGCCGGCGATTCCGAAGGCCATATCTACCTCGCCAACCTTTCCATGAACGACTGGAGCCACATACTCAACACCAACGGACCTCTCACGCAACTCGCTTGGACAGACCGAACAACTGATGTCAAGCTCGTTGCTGCCAGCAGTGAGGACTGTATCCGCATGGTCGAATGCCGAAGTGGTGAAGTCACCGACTCACTCTTCACCCAAAGGTCAGTCATCTGCGACCTCCGACTCTTCCCCTGGGCAGATATCACCTGCGTCGCAGCCGCCACCGAAGAAGGTCAAGTGCTCCTCTGGCAGCTCGACTAAGTGCCTGCCTGCAGCCCCTGACCCATCGCTTGCCAATTCAGCTGCATAGATGCCAGCGACATTCAGCTCTCCGTCAGGTGCACAAACGGAACCGTGGTGGGAGAGTCTTCATCATCATTTTTGATAAACTGACTCACATTATGGATGGACTAAAAGACACACTCCGATGGACTCCGCCGATGGACTCCGCCATAATACACGCCATGAAGTTGTTCACTATCTCAGAGTGGTGTCTTACTTGCATGACAGTGGTCAGTTTCTTGACGGGTCCGAAGGGAGACCAGGATATTCCCAGAACTTCGCTTAAGCCTTCGAGAGCCTGATAAGGAACTTGTGGCGACCCGCCCTGTTGGTAGTGTTTAGAGGTAGTCCTTCTGGTTGGTGTGGCTACCAGGGTTGTAGGGATGTGTGGGGATGTTTACCAGCCATTGTGGAGGGATGCGAGCGTGCTCGAGATAGGTGAGGTGTTTGAGGAAGAAGCGTTGGACGGCCATGGCGGGATTGGGAGAACAGGCGTGGACCAGTTCGCTTTCCCAAGAGAGTACGGGCAGTTCGTTTTCGATGACGGCGGTAATAAGTGAGCCAAGTCGTAGGGCGCAGCGTGCCTGTCGGAGAGCGCCGTCGTGGTTGAGCGAGAAGTCGATGTGTGAGCAGGAGTGGCAGGCGCAGCCGAGTTCTTGGGCACGTTGCATGTAGTCATTGAGACGGTTGAGTTCACCGAAAACGAGGACGGCCCCTGCCCAGAGCAGGAGACCGCGTTCAAGCAAGTTGTCGAAGACGGTGCTCAACAAACCCAGTCGTATAGCGAAGCAGCAGAGACTCAGCGCCTGTGCCGGCCCGAAATGGATGCGATCCCAACTTGCTAGAGCGAGGTAGCCGCCCGCTCGCAGAAACTGCGCTTCGGATCCCGTGAACCCACGGCAGACGGAACTGCCGGCGGAATCGCAAAGCAGGTCCAAGGTCGTGGGTTCACGGGTCGTCCTAACTGAACCAGTGACCTTGTCCGATACTCTATCACTGAGCACTACTCCAGCATGTAGAACTCCGCCTGGCCCTGCACTGAGCACGCCGCCAGGTAAGGCCGCGCCGGGAGCACAAGACATGCGTCTTTGCCGCGGTAGCGACGGTGCGCGGCGAAGTTGGTTGAAGTCGGTAAAGGACGCGCGACGTCGGGACCGGGCTGAAAAGCGCTCCTCACCACACGCGTGTTTGCAGCATTCCAGCAACATAAGTTTTGGCGATTGCTCGCGCTCACACAACTCTTGACGCGTCAGAGACCCGCTCCGGTCGCGACCAGCCGAGTCACGGGCAGCAGGAAATCGTCCTCCCGACGGCGAAAGATCACCGCCGTCTTCGCAAAATAACTTGGCGAAACACTCAGAGTCGCTTACTGAACGTCGTGAATAACGCTCCGTAAAGTACGGGTCAGCCGCAGCCAATGCACTACAGATATACGCAGCGAGCAAACTCTTTGCCACCTCACTCCTGCTCACAGCTTCTACATGCGCCGCCGACCACCAAAACGGCTCCGCCAGTACCTCAAAACAAATCAAAGCCACCACCGTCGCACGAGGCAAAGCCAGATTGCACCCCGCCGACGGGTGTCTAGACTTGGCGCTAGTCTCCACTACCGCTTCACCTCCTGCTCCAGATCCAAGTCCCGCTGCCCGTCCCGGCGAGTCCACGCATGGGAGAACTAACGAACGTAATAGCTGCCCCGTCCTGTTTGCTCCCTTTTGCAGGCCCTTGTATATCGGGTACCGCGTCTGGACGCTGCCTTCATTCGGCAGCAGGCAGCCCCCTTTCCGCGCTGAATCCCCCCCCAAGTCGGTTGAGTCCAAGTCATCCGTAAGAGTGTTGCCGCCCCAATCGTCCGCTGTGCTGTCTCCCAGATTGTTACTGCTCCCGATACTATCTCGCTTCCTCACCACCACTTCCAGGCTGTCTCGCGGTACTGCGGAGAAGTCATCGTGCTGCGGGTACACCAAGCATTGCTTTATCATCTGACAGGTGTACAAGTGACTGCTGCGCTTAATGCTTTGCAGATAAAGTAACGGCCCGTTTGTCTCCTTCGGAGGCGACAGACACACGTGCTTTAGCTCCGGGTCCGCCAACATCCGAACCAGCTCATCTGGTAAAGGACGCACGTCGTCCAGGGATGCGTTGATTGCGTCAACCCAGCTACATATAGCAATGCAGTACGCTTTAGTCTTTTCCACCGAAGACAAACACCGGCTCACCAAACCCAAGACTTCAGGCCACCTACATAACACTTGAACCAAATGATACATTACTGAAGTACCGTCCGTCAAAATTGCTTTATGTCCTGGTCCGTTTCGGGTCAAGCTGGGTCGACTACCGTTCAGACTACCCATTGACGTAGAACGAGTCCTCAGCCGGATACCTTTGACGTAGATCTCCGCATCAATTGATACCAAAGCGTTTATAAAATTTTGACAAACGCGCGCGTCATTTTGACAAACGCGCGCATCACCTAAAATCTTACGCTCTAGCAACTCAAAATGGCAGCATAACAACGCTCCGATGGACCATTGAGCACCGTTAAAGTATTTATAGATCCTATGCCAGTCAAGTCTTCTTTTAAATCTGTGATACAACTGAAAGAGCATGGTTATAGTTCAAGCAAATGGTCTTACGTCAATCAATAATACGACAGTATAGACTTCTTGATATTTACATAAGTACCTCACCATGTCCTTACCTTCAATTTTGTAGCGGTCTCGGCCAAGGGCTATAAGGGTACCACTGATAACGTGGAACCGCTTCAAACCTGTAATTTCATTTATATCTAGCATGATACATCCATTTTGGATGACGTGAAGATATTCAGCTAATTCTTCGCAATGTTCCACGTCATCACCGTCAGACAATAGTAGTTGCTTTCCAGTTCTTAGTGCTGCGGTAACCTGGTCGACGGGCGGAGGATCCAGCTGTAGATCTTTGCAGACCAGCCTTCTCAACTGAAATTAGAGGGGACATCAGAGCTTATGCTCAGGCTTACGTTGATTAAGAGCTGTTCCGACGCTGTGAGATGCTTGTATCTGGCCAACTCATGACGATTCACAAAGCACATCGCGTCAAACTCTTGGCAGATTGAGGTATCCTTGGTCAACTGATACTGAGCAATTATATTACCATTGAAGCTACAAAAAGACCGGAATGATAACTCAGCAGAACCGGGACAAATGGAGTGCTTGCCTTACTCACACATGCCACCCCAAACTGAGTCTTGCGGTCCTTGCCATAGGACAACTAGCTGTTCATGACCTCTAGGGTAGCAGTTTATAACGTTGAGAATTTGCGAATCTTCGTAGTGAAGAGAACCTCTGCTCAGTACTTGAGCGACTGTAACCGTTTGCATGTTCGTGCCCGACTTTTTCAACAGTCTCAAATGCGCACAAATCCCCGATTCGGTCACTACGAATATTTTCTCCTTCTCGCACACTATGAACCTCGCTTCAGGCCTTCGCACGTGACCGACATCCGGCTGGAAACTTGAAGCGAGGTTTTGCTCCCTCTCTTTATCTCGGAGTTTAGCGTAGCCAATTTTGGCCAAGGAATTGACATCCATGATGCGTAGACAGTCCTCCAGACACCAAAACAGCTTATCTCCCATGGCTTTGATGGAGATGATGTCTTTCGATTCGGAATAAAGTAGCTGAGGTTCTCTGGTCATTATGAAGTGTCGTCCGCTGTGCCCATTCGGGCTGATCTCGGCCGTTCCGAGGTCCGTAAACGAAGCCTTAAACACACGTGTGCTCGTAGCCAGTATGGCGGTGGGTTTCTTCGAGAAGATATCTATATCCGTCGCAAAGTTGTACCCCAGCGGAACCCTGAACACCATTAAATTCTTGATTGGAAAGGATCCTGGGTGGAGATACCACGAGAGCGAAGCCAAGTCCACCACAAGCAGCAGGAAACTATACCCATTTTCGTTCGCCGAGCACAAGCTCCCGCGTTCGAGTCCATGCCGACACGTGACTCCGTGGGCGTCATCACAACACACACTCACGCTGTCGCGTCGCTGCCCGTCTGCAGTCGTACTCCCACTGAAAGTGGAACTGTCCACGACGTGCGATGAATAACCCGGAACCGTCTGCCGACCGGGCAAAGAATTGACGGGGGCTGCACGAGCATCCGAGTCGTGACGATTGGGAACAGAGTTACTTGGAACACCAGTGGCATGACCACCAGTAATAGGATGACCATCTAGAATAGGATGACCTTCTGCAATACGTCGGCCATCTACAATAGGATGACCATCTTGAATAGTATGGCGGTCCTGAATAGTATGACCGTCTTGAATAGGATGATTAAATTTCTCGGCAAGACATATAGGAGATCCGTCCTCTGTGAGAACTCGGAAACTAACCAATTGTTCGGTATGGCTTACATACTCCAGTCGTGTGTCCTCCGGTGCGCAAAAATACCAACTCGTGTCCCACACCTTCCCTACGGCGGGCACAGCGAGAGAGTGCCCACTGGCGCACTTCACGAAACAGTGACCAGTCACCCGCTGGCTACCACCTGCTGCAGGGCTGCCACTTGTTCCACGGCTGCCACTTGCTCCACGACTACCACTTGCTCCACGACTGTCACTTGTTCCACGACTGCCACTTGTTCCACGACTGCCACTTGCTCCGTGGCTGCCTCTTGTTCCGTGGTTGCCGTGGTTGGGACCGGTCATGCCGAAATGGTGTCCAACGGTAGGGAGTCCAAGGGGGGGGATACAGGTGGTCGTGGCCGACTTAGTTCTGTTGAGCCCGCAAGAGTTGGCCAAGTCTTGGGTGGGGTACACAATTGCTACGTGCCGGTCGTAGATGCAGGCTAGGGCCACGGAGTGAGTGGCGTCTGGATTGTAGTCTTGGTTTGCGGCGAACCGTATCACCTGGGAGGGCCACCTGGTCCTGATGGGGTCCCGGGAAGAGCCGGATTCCAATGACTCCTCGTCTGCGTTCTTGTCCAAGTCTCCGTCGTCCAGGTCGGGGTCAGGGTCTGGGTCTGGTCCGCCGTAGGTGGGTACGTGGCGCGTGCCGGTGAAGCTACCGGCCGGTGTGTAGATACGAGGAGCGTTCGGAGCACTGAATTGGATGACCTCAAATGTGGCGACCGCCATTACTTTTGTTCATGTGTAAAAAACGACGTTGAATTAGCTTCAGGCAGCCTGGGACTCCACGGGACGTTCGCCACGGGGCTCACGACGGTCGAACTCACCACGGCGTTCGAAATCACCGCGAGGCTCACGGCGGTCGAATTCACCACGGCGTTCGAAGTTGCGGCGAGGGGGACGGTCACGGTCAGTGCGGGGAGCACGAACCTTAACGGCGTAAGTGGCTGGCATGGGTCCGGCAGGCAACTGCAACTCCTGACGGATATATTCGATGCCCTCCGGAGTCAACACGTAGTAGAGGTACCTCCAGTTGTACACCTCCGTCACGTAGTTCCTAGACGTCAGCGAACGCATCATCATCATGACGTGGAGGTTCTGCAACCCAGTCTCCTCATGCTGGGGGAGCTTGTAGTCCTTTTTCACCACAATTGTGCCCTCTACAGAAAGAACATTTCACCACCGCTTTGTGCCGCACAGTGTGTTCCGCACACTGTGTGGGTTATACACGCTCTTCCCGTTGCAGCCCGCTGCTCCAGTGTGTGGACCTACCCTTCATGAGGTAGTCAAGGAGCGCTTTTCGCGTCTGCTTGGAGATGAGAGAGTTGATGACGTTAGGAGGCATACCGGCGGCCGTTATAAAAGGGAGCGGAAAAAAAGAAAGACACAACGTAACTATTTCCTGCGAGACTGCCCGCGTTTGTTGGACACAGGTTGGAACGGGTTCCTCACCACGTCCCAGAACGCGTCAGAGAACTCAGAAACCCTGCTCTCGTCCATGTGCGGGAGGTTATCCGAGAGGAACGATTTAATTGAGTCGATATCCTGCAAGGATATATAAATACCAACGGACCCTCAAGTCAGACCCAGGGTCGAGACCAGTGTCTGGGTTACCAGAAAGGTCTGGTGACGAGACCGTGTGTGCGTGTATGTGCACAGGACGGGTGTGGGGGAGTGTGTGTTACAGGCATTCCGATGAGCATGGTAATGAAGTCCGGGTCGAGCTCGATTTGGTAGTGGGCACAGAGGTCCTTGATATTGCCTCGCGCGTCGTCCGAGCTGTTGGAGCGGACAGTGGCGCTGGTGGCAGAGACCTTGCGGTCCGCAGGCGCGCCGGGGACCGGGCCGGGTACGGCGGAAACGGTGCTGCTGTGGACAATGGTGGGGGTGGCCTTCGGGGGCAGTTTCTGGACGGCCTTGGCAGTCGTAACGGGCTTCGCCGGGGTGACCGGTTTCCCGACGGCTGGCGGGGCCTTCACCGGCTGAGTCTTGGTTGAGGTCGGCTTAACGGCCGCTTGGACTCGCAGCGCGGACGGAAAAGCTGCCGGCGGACTGGTCTGTGCGGCCGCGCGAGCGACACTCGCCGGAACAGCAGTCGGCGAGGTGCTGGGCTGGACCACAGTGCCTAGTCCGGGTTGGTTACTTAAGGCCTGGGCCATGCTGGTGTCTCCGCCGATGCTACCTCCTGCGCCGGAGCCGGAGAGGTTGGAGGATGTGTGTGCGGGGCTGGTGATGTGTGCGGCGACGTCAATGGAGGGTTCATCGGACCAGATGGAGGAGGAGGCTGGGACGTCGCGCGTGGGCAGTTGCCAAACGCTCTTTGGAGCAGGCGTAAGCACGTCTTCAAGTCGCTTGGACTTTTTACGACCAACCTTTTTCCGCCAGTCAGAGCCTTCCGCGGAGGCCGTAGCGGTCTGAGGCGGCAGTCGTCTGGACTCCTCGATGCTGGGCCCTGTCTCGGCGTCGTCGGGTGAAACAGCCGGCACCGGCTGTTTCCATCGCATCGGCGGCTTCGCTGCCGTGTTGTCATTGTATACTAAAGAGTCGAGCGCATTCTTCTCAGCCAACAACTTCGCCTCACGCGCTTCACGCTGTCTTTGCGCCTCGACACGCCACTGCGCCTCCAATACCTCCCGCTGCTGCTGTTCGCGGATTGCAGCCGCCACACGGTTCGTCGCCTCTTCTTCGCGCACGCGTGCTGCCTCGCGCAACTTCTTCTCCTTTGCCAACCGCACCTCTTCCTGCCGACGCTGCAACTCCATCCGCTTCAACACGTCCAACTCGTGCCTACGCAACAACTCCTCTTCCTCCTGCTTTGCGGCCTCGATGTCCTGCGTCAGCTCTCGAGTCATTCCTTCGTGAGTCGCTCCTTCGTGAGCCACTCCTTCGCGTGCCACTCCTTCGCGTGCCACTCCTTCGTCAGCCACTTCTTGTTCGCGTGTATTCGAAACAGGGGATACGTCCTGCACGCCTCGAAGAGAATCGTCCCGAAGACGGCCGTCTCGAAGAGGAACGTCTCGAAGAGGAACGTCTCGGAGAGGAACGTCTCGGAGAGGAACGTCTCGAAGAGGAACGTCTCGGAGAGGCATGTCTTGGAAGGGGTTCGGGGCTCGGTAGACGGCAGTCGCCGAGGCAGGTGACGGCGACGGCTTTGTTGTCGGCGGTTGTGGGGCCAGTGCCGTGTCAGTCATGGCGGTGGCCATTGTCACGGCGGCCGGTGAGGTTGCGGAGTCATTTGGTCGTCCAGGAATCATTTGGGGTCGGTGGTCGTCATTAATGTGCTGGATGCTGGGTGGGCTTTTAGCGGCCGCCTGAGCGTAGGCGGCTGGGTCGGCGTAGGGTTTCTCGAGAAGGTCAGTTTGGTCGAGGAAGCGGTCGGGAGGGGGCGAGAGAAAGGGCGGACTAGCGGAGCTTGGAGGGTAGACGTCAACGAGGGGAGCAAACCGTTGAGCACCGCATACTCGTATGGGTAGTGTGGGAGGGAAGAAATCTCCTCGGAACCATTCATTCATTTTGGCGCTACTAAAGGGGCCCTGGACATGATTTTGTGGGTCGAGGTATTCCCACATTATCGGCTTCTTCAGGGGGGCAGTTTTCTTCAGCAATGAAGTTTCCCAAAGAGAGAGGAGCTGCAAGATCTCTTCAGTTTGCAAAAACAGCTCGCGGAAGGTAGGCCACAAGGCAACACTTGACTCTGGCGTGAGACGCAACGCCTGGTTCGCTGGTTCAGGCAGACGCAATTTCTTATGTCGCGCAAATTCATTATACAAGTCCGCCACATGTGCCTCATACTGCTCAAAGAACTTGCGTTGCTGTACAGCGTCCACATTTTGACCAGCACCGCGTGTCATGTTTAGCTTTCCCGCACACTTGTCGGCTAACGGCAGCAATTCGTGGTATGCCACCATGTACAACGGCCGGCCGTCCGACCACCGCACGATCGACCGCCGCAAGGCGTCCACGTCTTCCTCGGCTATCAGCTCTTCGCACTCCGCACGTTCACCGCGGTCGAACGTTGTCGCCTTGTTGTCGAAGCCTGGTTTGTCGTAACTATTTGCTGCGCGCGACAATCGACTGCGACTCGCCCAGTTCTCCAGCGAAGTGAACCGGTTGTTCGTCACTGGCTGCTCCCCGCTACTCGGCCACGCGGTCCTGGAAAACGCCGTTTTCGCCGCCGCAGGTGCACCCCGCGTCATAACCCGACCTCCGGCGTTCGACGCCGACCCCGCCGACGCCGCCAATGGAGCACCGCGCACCTTACTCGCCAACTCCGACAACGTACGTTTCGGCCGCGTCGTCGCAGTTGACACTGCCTGACTCAGGCTTGCGGGAGCATTCAACACTTCCGGCTCCGCCGGCACCTCCGAGTAAACCGCCGCATGAGCCCGCAATCCTTCCGGACACTCGTATAGTCGAAACGCTGACAATAATTCCTCTCTGCTATATGTCATCTCTACGGGCAAACACATTATGACGCAGCGCACACGAACACGAACACCGAGCACATCCCCCCAAGGACAACCACGCTCCCGAGCGCATCCTCCCGCCCACTTTCCAAGCTCTCAGAAGCTCCGGAACCACGCGCGATGCACACACGGGCCACCGGACCTCCTGTGTGTCGGCCACCGGACCTCCTGTGTGTGGGCCGCCGGACCTCCTGTGTGTGGGCCGGACCTCCTTGGGCGTCAAAACTGCGTGAGACGCCGCCCCACGAAGTAAAGTACACTTACGCGAAGACTCCATTTCGCACTTTTATAATTTTAAAGACCCCATGCTTGCCGCCGGCAGAGGAAGCGAATATATACGGTTTGAGACAACTACCACCGAGACGCCACCGTGCACTTCACTTGAACCAGCTGGTACACAAACACGCCCGATCAGCTAAGAGCCCGACTCGGCTACGACCCAATCTCGGAATCAGCGGCCCATGAATTGGTGGCAGGTATGGGGACGTGCGTCTCAGCTACATGAACCGCATCCTCTATCTGGCACTTGAGGCACGTGACTCAAGCTGCACTATTGTTGCACGCACACGGACTTCGCACGCGGACCATAGCCGCGCACACACTTATAGTGTGTTTCCCTGATTGTCCCCTGATTATCCCGCAGTTGTTGTCCCCGAAATGATCGCTCACGTGCACTCCCCGACATCCGCCAGTAGATTCCAACTACCCCTTTTGGTGCGACGTGCTATTACGAACGTGCTGGCTTTGGTACCACATTGTTATTCCGGTCCGTATTGGTCTTTCCTTAGGGGCTGACGCCGGTACGTGTAATTCCCGGTTGTGCCAACGGCTTTCGAAGAAGGCTGGCAAAAAGAGGAGTGAGTATTTGGCGCATTGCGAAAAGACCAGGCTTCGTATCGGCCTCTTCTGGCTCCGGCTCAAAAGCAAGGTCCGCAGACTTCAAAGCCGATGTAAGACATGCAAACAGGAGAACTTTGTCCGACAACCCACAGCCTCCGTCGTGCCGACGCCACGCTGGAACGGAACCCAAACAGCACCGACTACACCCGATACGGGCCCGGGTCATGACCAGACAAGAGCCAATAAAATTTAGATAGTTAGCTAGGGAAACGATATACGCCGTATCCCACGACACCATATTTCATAACACTACTTGAGCCAAGAAGACCCAACCAGTGATCCCCCAATCAATGAGCCAACAACGAACGAAAACCGACTCGGACGCCACGATTAGTCAGGTCTTTCTCGCGGACCCCAAGTCAGACTGGTTCCCCTTGCACGGCAAACCTCTCATGGGTTCACCGGACCGTCTACTGCCGTTTTCCTGTTGGATATTGACCCTCAGTTCCCCATCATGACCTGATGACTTGACCCACGGTCCGAACCCCCAACGATTCGTCCCCTACACACTCCGACCTCGAACGCGGCAGCTATAAAACGACTTGCAGCAAGAAAGGATTGTACAGAGCCTAGAGCTTGCACAGAGCCTAGAGCTTGGTGGTGGCTGGTTTGATGTCCTGTGGTTGGTCCTTGACAACGGCCTCTTGTTCTGTTTCATTCTTGACGTCCTGTTTCTGCTTGATTCGGGTGGTCAGCTTGTGTAGTTTCTGTAGGGCGTCAAAATCGAGTCGTGACCGCATGGAGATTTGGTAAGGCTGCGACATTTCGATCAAAAAGTCGCGGGCTACCTGGACAGCGACATCGACGCTAAGGGCTGTGTGGTGAGGGTCCAGACATTCTAGCACCCACTCTGGCAATTTCTTCCGTTTATCGGCGCGTCCATATCGGTAGTCTGCAAGGACCATGAGTCCATAATCGGTCTTGGATCTGATGACGCGTCCTATACATTGGGCCGCTTGTCTCATGGCGTCAAATGATAAGAATTCGGATTCTGGTACCTTATAGGTTTCCTTCATGAACTCAAGTCGTGCTTTAAGCACCTTGCTTAAGGTGTACTGGAAGGGTACCCCGAAGAGCATCACACATCGACCATAATGACGATCAAAATCAATTCCTTCCGCTACCTTACCTCTTGCCACTGAAAAGAAAATAGCTCCTCGACCGTTATCACAACACTTCCTATATGAATCAAGCGCAAGTGTGGTTGTCACAATATCCTTGGTCTCCATTAGTAATAGCTTATATCTCATCAACTCATTAATCACCCCTGTCTTATACCACTTAGAAATGATCAACTCCATATATTGGTAAGACGTGAAGAAACATACAATACCATCAGGCACCGTCCTTGCAAATTCCGTTAATAACCGACCATAGTTGCGAACCACTGCGGCATCCTCACGTAATTCATATGCACTCGATAAAGGAATTTGATCTGGTCCTTTACCCACAACCATCGGACAAATACACTTCCGATCCAACGACATAGGAAATGACTGAGTTACCACCGGCTGAAAACCTAATAATCGAGGATACAAATATAATGGTGATATCGTACCCGACGTTAATACCACTGACTGAAATTTCTCCAACACCGGCTTCATTGCCAACGAACTATCCACACAACATAACTGAGTAATCGGGTCATATATTCCAGGAGCCTCCGGATAAGGATCCGTAATTAGTACAAATCCTTTCCAATAAGTAGACACGAGTGTACAAAAATCAGCTATCTTAGTCAAAGGCATATACTCACGGATATCAGTGACCTGCAAGCTAATAAATAAATTCTTCAACCGCTCATAAAAGTGCTGTAACGTATCACTACTAATCGTTGTCTTCTCCTCCAACTTCTTCAAAAAACTCAACGGACCTTCCGTAACCACCTTAAATTGCCGAATATAGTCGTCCAAATAGACTATTATCACATGCATGTTCATCAGAAATAATTCCGCCTTACGTATATTACCCGGCACCAACGCATTTACCAGCATCTGCTGCTCATTCGGCAACAAAGGACTGGCCATATGCTCTTGCAACATCGATTCGTACTCGTTGTTTCTGACCACCGACTGGGTCAAATCTGTTGCTCGCCCACCATTGCCTGTGACCTGTGATCCCGTAATCTGCGATCCCGAGTCAGTCCCTCTAATCATCTGCTCCAACTCCGTGCGGAGCGACTGCTGGTCATGCACTTTCTTTTCCGCTATTAGCTTCTGAAGCCTTCTGACATTGACTCTGGCCTTCTCTACATCTAGCACACTTAAGTTGATGGATAAAGCTTCTATGCACACGTTGTCGATATTATGTGCCTCATCGAAAACAATAACCCAGGGATCCGCAGCCCTAGAGGTTTCCCCTGCGTCCTTCTTAGCGAAGCGATTTGCCAAAACCTGCCCCTTCCCAGACATCAGACCGCTCGATCCAAACGCCACTTGAGACACTCGTGGGTCGAGCACATACTGATAGTTCAAAATTAACACCGAGGCTGCCTGAGCCATCCTTCTCGACGCAAAGTAGCTGCAGAATCTTGTATTCACTCGACCGGGACTCTCCTCCTCATCATCCATTCTTATGACGTCGTACTTTGCACGGAGCCTTCTCAGATTCGTTGTTTCTTCATCCAATATCGGATTCTTTCCTGTGGACCCGAAGTTCTTCAAGTCCTCGATTGTATATACATCCACCGGCATCGACTCAACATTCCACTCACTGTCTAACGCCTCATACCAGGGACACAGCCGGCAGTCATTGACATTTTGAAACATTTCTTCCAGATCTCCAGCGTTCTCGCCGTGAGAATTTCGTACCCAGGGCGCAGTTAGCTGCCGGCACGACTCATCGATTTTGTCACGATCACCTTCTCGCGAAATAATCGGGTGAACACATAAATTTCGCCTGGCCGACAAGGCGCAAGCCAAAACATTCGCCCGCTCCGCTCGTCTGTCTTCTCTCTGTAACAAGTCATTTAACCGGTACCGGAGGACTCCTCGAAGCTCTATCAATGCTTTCTCCATTTCTGCAACTGTACGTGTACAGAAAAAGAACTTCTCCACTTCTGGGTGCTCTAATTGATAACTAGATATTAGGGACATTAACGCCACTGTCTTCCCCGTTCCAGTCGGCATCTCCAACACTCCATGACCGTGTGCATCTAAGGTTGCCTAGCACGTAACTGTGTTCCATTCCTATTTGTTTTGTGCGCGCACACGCGTGTGCACACATATTTTCGCTGCGTTTCAAAACAGGTGAATCCGGTATTTACCTTCAATTGTCGCATATACGCATACTGTTCAGGGTAGACGTGGTCATAGGGGAAGAATACTTCAAGATCGTCGATGAAAAATTGAACCATCCTATTTTTCCCGGTTAAAAATGGACAGGGAAATGAACCCTGTAAGGCTTTGATGGGTTGCAGTTCACAACATGTTCTCTGTGCACGGTACCACAGGTTTTTACGATGATGTTCTGTTAGATGATGGAGAGTTATGGGGGGTACCAGCCCTATCAAGCGAAAGCCAGGTTGCAGTGTCATGCTTGCGGCAAATTACTGGAGTACGATGCCGGAGCGCAGTATGTGCAGTGTTTCTCTTGCAGCACGATGAATGCAGTTCAGCAGAAGAATCAAGTAGGCGGGAGAGTGCTGTCTATGTTATGTTCGATGTGCTCCACAACCAATCTCGCCCCCTACGGAATCAACTATGTCCGTTGTGGCCAATGCCACACTATATCCCAAGTGTCCCACGCTTATAGACAAGAGCTCATGTCCGCGGCCCAGCCTCCTCCGCCTTCACAATGAACAACTTTTTAAGTCTTTTTATTCTCCTTGATGCGCGAAGGGGGTGGACGGACGCCCAGCAACTTCGATTTCTCCAAGATCATCAAGAACGTCACCAAGATAGTCAAAGAAAAGACAGAAGATATGTACACATCCATCATTCCCGCCCCTCTTCCTCGATTCAGTCATTTCCTCGATTCAGTCACCATCTTTTAATTCCGCCTGATTACTACCACACTACTGCACTCCCCCCCCCCCCCCCCCCCCCCCCCCCCCCCCCCCCCC